GGACCGCGGGGTCCCCACCCTCAGGGACGCGCTGACGCGTAACCCCGCGTAGGCCTCGCGGGACCCGCCGCCCCCCGGGGCTCCTCGACGCAGCACCGCCCCCGCGAGTCGGCTGGTACCGTGCCTGGATTCCTCCGCGCAGAAGGAAGAAGCGAGTCTTTCGGCAGGGCGGAGGGGAAATCACGCTTCGGGACTCTCACGCAACTATGGACTCTTCTTGCGCTGCAACTTCTTCTTTAATGTCCCCATAGCCCCAACTTCGAGGCCGGAGAGTGCGTGGGTGGGGGGAACGCCGCTGTGTCTGCTCCTTACAGACCTGGGTGCTGCGATGTGGCTGCAGCCGCCGCTCCCGCGTCTGGCCTGCGTGTCCCCCAGCCGAGCCCGCGGGAAAGTCCCGGCTCCCAGACAGGAGCGCCTAAGCTCAACGAGCGGAACGGCCCTTCTTACCCGAAGAGACCCTAGACCCTCCCGAGGTGCAGAGAGTCTCGGCCCTCCCTGATTGCGTGATTGTTTTTCCTTTCACTTTAGGGCTCTCTCACTGAATGTTGCTGTCGTCAACTACATCCCTGGCCAGGGATGCGCGGCGCATCACCCGCTTCCCCCAAAAGCCACCTTTCTCAGGTTATTTTTCCACAACCGAAGCACTGGAACGCCATTGAATATTGAGGGAGAACAAAAAAGCAGTCGAGTAAAAGAAACATAGAAAGTATTATAAAGCCAAGTACTTGATCCTTTCATGTCTGTCTCAAGCTCCCAATCTTACTCAAAAATAGCACCGCCACCCGCTTCTAGTTCTCGGGCAATCCCTATTCCCTGCTGAGAAGGAATCCAGTTACCTAACAATGGAGACAACGGACAGTAAAGTGGGGTTGCAGGGTCCGTACCTGGGTCTCAGAGGCTTCCCATAGGTAGAGCTGAGTTATTTTTTCCTCTTCCCTGACCCTACAACAGGATGGGTTATTGAAGGTAGGCACTAGTAGGTAGTGATCACATGGGGAAATGCCCAATTAAGCACCATGTTAACACAATTCATTACCCACTGACAGCTGGTTTCTCTTCACTCCACTTCCCAACAGTTCTATTTCAACTTTTCAGGTAAACAGTGGCCTCGTTACTAAGTCCAAATGATACTTTTGTTGCCCTCGTTTCGCCCCGGAGTCTCTCTTTGGCAATTGACAAAGTTGTCTCCTCCAAATACTCTATTTCCTTGATGTCAGCGTAGCCTTTATCTTATTAAACTTCTTAAAATTCAGCCTCTGTTCTTCCTCTGACAATCCTTCAAATAAATGCCTTTTTTTTTTCACTGAAATACTACTAATGGCAAATGTGATATATTTCCCCATTCACCATCCACGTCGCGTGCATAAATAAATGAACCTAAAGTCACTAATATCGAGGGCAAATTCACTTGACTTTTTCCATTTTGGTTCAAATTGCTTCAAATTTTGCACTGTTCTTCATAAGTAATTATATGTTGTACTAAGAAAATATTTTAAATTAGTTACGAGTTTATTAAATTTTCTACCCAAATTATTAGGTATACATTTCAAGAAAATACACCGATCACTTATGCCACAAATGTTTGGTGTCTTACGTGTGCTAGGCACTAGGGATATAGTGTGAACAAGACACACGTGGTCCCAGGCCTAATGGAGATTTTGCAGTCTAATCCAGGAGACAGACAATAGACACTTAAACAAGCAAGACAGTTTCAGATCCATTCAATGATAGTGAATGAATGAATGAAATAAAACAGAGGAAATTGGGAAGGAGTGCTAATTAAATCAGAGAAGAGATGGCTTCTCTGACATGTAAAATGTTTTTCCTGTGGCTTCATACCCCTGAAGCCCTTAGCATTAAATGCTAGTGTTTCAAAGTTCTTGAGCCTCTGTCATCTTTAGCTTACTCTACCATTTCCCTGGATATCTTACATATGACCAGCAGACTCCACATAAATCGGTAAGGGTATAAATGATTTGAACATGATTAATGGACTTGACCTGATTGACATACACAGATTATGGCATCCAATGCAATTTCAGAATACATATTTTTTTCAGGTACACATGTAACATTAACAAAATCAGACATTAACAAAATTAGACTATTTTAGGCCATAGAGCAACAAGACTTAACAAAGCAAAATAGAAACAAATCGAAAGATTGAAATAATACAGAATGTGTTCTCTGACCACTTAGGTATTAGTCTAAAAATCAAAAACAAAAAGATAACTAGAAAAACCTCTAGATATTTGGAAATCAAAAGACACATTTCAAAACCACCAATAGGTCGAAAAGTAAACCATAACAGAAATCCTAAAATATTTCGATCTGAGTGTTACTAAAAATATTTTATCCCAGAACTTGAGGGACATAGCTAAAATCTAAATTAGAGGGGAATTTCTAGTCTTAAATGTATGTATCAGAAAACAAAGCCAGAGAATCAACTATCTAAACTTCTACATCAAGACATTAGAATAAAAAAAAAAAATGAAATCCAAATAAAAAGATGAAAATATCAAAAAACAGGACCAGAAATTAAATAGAAAAAAAAAGGATCAACAAGAGCAAAAGATGATCCTTTGAAAAGACTAATAAAATAAAATACTTGTGAAACTATTCAGGAAAAAAGACACAATACTAGAAATTAAAAAGAAACTGCTACATATCATAAGACATTTAAAAGATATCGACAATTTCTTTCCAATGAACTTAGATGAAATGAGCGGGCAAAGATGTTTGTCTATGTATTTCTTGTGTTCCTATTTCTTGCTGGGAATGCCAACGCAAGACCTTGACTACTCTTTACCTGGGCCATTTCTCAGGGTAGTGAGCCACCTTGAGATATGAGGTAATATCTCCCTCTAGGACCAAGAACAAGCTTGCCTACTGCTTGCTATAAAAGGGATGGGTTCCTCAAGCTCATTGTTCCTCAGATATGACACAAACTCACTGCATGTATAGCAGCAACCTGGACCTCTTCATGTCACCGCCATGGGATTTATGAGCAAAAGGAACCAATGCAAATGTGCTGATGGTAGTGCTACTTGCTGTGTCATGAGTAACAAAGTCCTTTGTCTTTGATCCAGGTATTTTGCGTCTTCTGCCAGCATCCATGAAACAGTAACGGGCTAACTTACTAGATTGTAAGTGGGGTAAAACCAAATCCCAAACCTGATGGGATAAGTGGGGAATTCTGTCATAGTGAGGATATCTTCAAATTCTCTCCCCAAAACAAATATAAACTGGACAAAATTGTCAAAAATAATCATTTGAAGGCTCTGGAAATTGACCAAAGGGAAACAACAAATTAAGAATCATTTATTCATTTTTAAAAAAAAAAACCTTGCTAGATTTTGGGTAGTAGTGGGAGTCTGTAGCATTCTTGGTAGAAGCGACTCTCATCTCTCAATCCCAGCATATTCCCCAGCTATGGTGGTGAAACAGTGCTATTAGGATGAAGCCGACAATGAAAGCCAGGAGCTCCACTGCTGGAGGGAGCTACTTGGCTTGGAGTGGATGGCATAAAAAGTTAACTAGTGGTGCTGTCAATAAAAATCATAAACTTGGGAGGAAATAAATGGGGAAACCCATAGCTCTGTTAGCCTGAACTTGTAGTCTCATATGAGATGGCCTAGCCAGAAATTTAATGGGGAGATTCTGGAAATGAGAACCACTGAGGGTCAAGATAAGCTCTTCACATATCTCTTGCATAATTGGGAGGCTACATATCCATAGGGGAGACACAAGCCTGCCCTTGAAGGTATGTGTTTGAACCCTTCTAGTACTAATTGTGTGACCTTAGACAAGTGAACTTAACCATTCTGTGCTTGTTTCTTAATCTGTAATATTGAGGAAAAGTATTGTTTAGGAGTAAATAAACTATATAGCATGAATGTAGAACATAGTATATAGCAGGCACATAGTATTACAAAAAGTTACTTTTATTATTTCTCAAAATGTGGTATAACAACACTTGTATCAGAACCTTTGGGAGGATTTCCAAGACTCACTCCAGATCTCCTAAACAGAAATCTCAGGGTCAAGGGAAGGAACCCAAAAAAGATCAGTTTTTCACAAGTGGACTAGGTGATTCTTATATCACCAACATTTGAGAACTACCACTTTCAGGTTAGATATAATTGTTTGTTTGGGGCCTGTGTCCAGATGCTCTGAGAGTAGAAGCTATCATATTTACTTCAGTATCCCATTGCCTAGCACATAGCAGACATTTAGTCAAACATCTATTGAAAAGTAGAGTTTTATTGAATCAATATCCAACACTCCAATTCTCACCATGTAGAATAAATAACAAATTAGGATTAATTTATACCTTTATATTAATGTGAAAAAGCTAACATTAATATCCTGCAGTGCAGTGATTCTTTAAAACTTTTTGAGTTACAGACTCCTTCAAGAATGTGATAAAAACTAGATTCTTTCTCCAGAAGACTGGAAATATATGTAAAATCTTGTTAAACAATCTTATGGGTATCGCCCCAAGTTAAAAACCTCTCATGAAAACCGGTTTGTTGTCTGTCTCCTAACCAAAAGAGTAACTTCTTGCTTATTACTGAATCCTTATTTCTAGGGAAAAAAAAAAAAAAGGATAGAATATATTTGGCACTAAATGAATTATCCATTGAATGAACAAATGAGTCACTGATAAAAAGATATCATCTGGGGGTTATGCGGAACTCCATGAGTCACCCAAGGGTGATGTAGAAAGTGAAAGCACAGAAATTGAACATCTTATTCATGACCAAGATGCAACCTTGAATTTCTAGAGGTGGGTAAT